ATTCCATCACACAGGATGGTTCCCTGTAATATTCCATCACACAGGATGGTTCACTGTAATATTCCATCACACAGGATGGTTCCCCTGTAATATTCCATCACACAGGATGGTTCACTGTCATATTCCATCACACAGGATGGTTCACTGTAATATTCCATCACACAGGATGGTTCCCCTGTAATATTCCATCACACAGGATGGTTCACTGTCATATTCCATCACACAGGATGGTTCACTGTAATATTCCATCACAGAGGATGGTTCACTGTAATATTCCATCACACAGGATGGTTCCCCTGTAATATTCCATCACACAGGATGGTTCACTGTCATATTCCATCACACAGGATGGTTCACTGTATTATTCCATCACACAGGATGGTTCCCCTGTCATATTCCATCACACAGGATGGTTCACTGTAATATTCCATCACACAGGATGGTTCACTGTAATATTCCATCACACAGGATGGTTCCCCTGTAATATTCCATCACACAGGATGGTTCACTGTCATATTCCATCACACAGGATGGTTCACTGTAATATTCCATCACACAGGATGGTTCCCCTGTCATATTCCATCACACAGGATGGTTCCCCTGTAATATTCCATCACACAGGATGGTTCACTGTCATATTCCATCACACAGGATGGTTCCCCTGTAATATTCCATCACACAGGATGGTTCCCCTGTCATATTCCATCACACAGGATGGTTCCCCTGTCATATTCCATCACACAGGATGGTTCCCCTGTCATATTCCATCACACAGGATGGTTCACTGTAATATTCCATCACACAGGATGGTTCCCCTGTCATATTCCATCACACAGGATGGTTCCCCTGTAATATTCCATCACACAGGATGGTTCACTGTCATATTCCATCACACAGGATGGTTCCCCTGTAATATTCCATCACACAGGATGGTTCCCCTGTAATATTCCATCACACAGGATGGTTCCCACTGTCATATTCCATCACACAGGATGGTTCCCCTGTAATATTCCATCACATAGGATGGTTCACTGTCATATTCCATCACACAGGATGGTTCCCCTGTAATATTCCATCACACAGGATGGTTCCCCTGTAATATTCCATCACACAGGATGGTTCCCCTGTCATATTCCATCACACAGGATGGTTCCCCTGTAATATTCCATCACATAGGATGGTTCACTGTCATATTCCATCACACAGGATGGTTCCCCTGTAATATTCCATCAAAAAAGAGGAGATAGTGGAGGAGAAGCAGATTAAGCAATTACATTATTTCCTTGTGTACGCACACACACACACACACACACACACACACACACACACACACACACACACACACACACACACACACACACACACACACACACACACACACACACACACACACACACGATGTTCCAGAGATTGGACACAGTAACAAGGGGACACAGTTGGAAGCTGAAGACACAGATGAATCACAGGGATGTTAGGAAGTATTTCTTCAGCCACAGAGTAGTCAGTAAGTGGAATAGTTTGGGAAGCGATGTAGTGGAGGCAGGATCCATACATAGCTTTAAGCAGAGGTATGATAAAGCTCACGGCTCAGGGAGAGTGACCTAGTAGCGATCAGTGAAGAGGCGGGGCCAGGAGCTCGGACTCGACCCCCGCAACCTCAACTAGGTGAGTACACACACACACACACACACACACACACACACACACACACACACACACACACACCACACACACACACACAAAACACACAACACACACACACACACACACACACACACACAACACACACACACACACACACACACACACACACACACACACACACACACACACACACACACACACACACACACACACACACACACACACACACACACACGCACGCACGCACGCACGCTTATACAACAGGCCTAGTGTCTAATCGACATGTGCCTAGGACAAAATGGTAACTAACACACACAAACACACACACACACACACACACACACACATACACACACACACACACATGTCCGCATACATACACCTCACTGTGTAATCATACATGTGGTGAATGTACAACAGGTGTGTGCACCTCTGTGTGCACATAGATGATGCGTGGGAACAATATACTAGGCAATCATAACAGCCGATTAACTTCCAATTGCCATTTGTGCTAAAAGAATGACCAGGTGTTAGTAGAATGACCAGGTGTTAGTAGAATGACCAGGTGTTAGTAGAATGACCAGGTGTTAGTAGAATGACCAGGTGTTAGTAGAATGACCAGGTGTTAGTAGAATGACCAGGTGTTAGTAGAGTGACCAGGTGTTAGTAGAATGACCAGGTGTTAGTAGAATGACCAGGTGTTAGTAGAATAACCAGGTGTTAGTAGAATGACCAGGTGTTAGTAGAATAACCAGGTGTTAGTAGAATGACCAGGTGTTAGTAGAATGACCAGGTGTTAGTAGAATGACCAGGTGTTAGTAGAATGACCAGGTGTTAGTAGAATGACCAGGTGTTAGTAGAATGACCAGGTGTTAGTAAAATAAACCAGGTGTTAGTAGAATGACCCAAGGTTTTGTTAGTAGAATGACCAGGTGTTATTTAGAATGACCAGGTGTTAGTAGAATGACCAGGTGTTAGTAGAATGACCAGGTGTTAGTAGAAGGGACCAGGTGTTAGTAGAATGACCAGGTGTAGTAGAATGACCAGGTTTTAGTAGAATACCA